GGATGCTAACAGAACTTTGCATACATGCATGGAGAAATCTCTTCCAAGCTCCATTATATATATATTGATCCAAGTTCTAACTGACAATTCCCTCTTATTAGTTTCTGTTGTAATGAGAATAAGTATATCAAAATATCATGGCCTCCTGGAAATTAAAAGAAAAAAAAATTAAAACAGGGGTACCATAATGTTGCAAGAGCTAAATTCTACATTAATAAATGAGGCATCTTAATTTGATTGGTGACTAATTAGGACGTTTGTTTGCAACATACTCCCTCCGTCCCAAAATAAATCAACTCCTGTAATTCGAACTTTGTCCTAAAATAAATCAACTTCTACCTTTCTCATCCACTCTTGGTTAGCAAATCGAAAAATTTTATTCCTTCAATACCACTTATCTACCTATCGACCAATACTAATATGCTATTAATAAGGGATATTTTGGTTATTTATCTACCTCTTTAATTTTATATTGGGAAGTTAGGAGTTGCTTTTTTATTGGACAGAGGGAGTATACTAATATGTTTGATTGGTTATGCCTAGCTAGCAGCAGGCTAGATATAGATACTAGCTAGTAGTACCTACTGAATAACTACCAAAGGCATGTTTAGTTCGCGAAAAGAAAATTTTTAGATGTTATATCGAACGTTTAACCAGATATTAGAAGGGGTTTTTAGACACGAATGGAAAAATTAATTTCATAACTCGCCTGGAAACCGTGAGACGAATCTTTTGAGCCTAATTAATCCGTCATTAGCACATATAGGTTACTGTAGCAATTATGACTAATTATGGACTAATTAGTCTCAAAAGATTCGTCTAACGATTTCCCCTCTAATTGTGCAATTAGTTTTTATTTTTATCTATATTTAATGCTCCATGTATGAATCTAAAGATTCGATATGATGTTTTTGGGAAAAACTTGTTGGAAACTAAACGGAGCCTAATCATTGTGCACATCGCATAATATCACTACATGATCGATACTCCGGAATAGTAGTAAGATTATTCTTTGTTGCCACAGGAATTAAGTTGAGACCTATAGTTAGCTCACAAGATATGATCGATTGACAGGGTACAGTTATAACGACAACCGGTAGCTTGCCTGTTGTTAATTGGAGGTTTGTTAAGGGAAGAGGTCCTATTCTCGCAACCCGTATTATTGATCACAGCAAAAAAAAAAGAAAAAAAAGAAGAAGAAGTACATATTGTCATGCACTAATGCCGCAGATTCGCATGTCCCTAGAGTGCCTATCATTATTTCTGGTGTTATATGGAGTATATATGCTAACAACACTATTGCTATCATTGACAGCCCCCATCAGTATGATCGAGGAGGGTGTGTGATCAGTGATCACACTAACAAACAATTTTATGTGATGTATTATCTCAAACATGTACACCTAACTCTCAAGGCATTCCTGTGCTATATAGCTTGAACATACACCAAATTATATGCATGCATGCTACAATTCGAAGACAACCAACAAAAAGAAATTATCATGTATTCATGTGTAAAGCGCGCTAGCTATAGCTTTATATCTTTGAATCCATCTATCTCACACCTAAAAACACATGATGACTACATGATAGTAGAAGAGAAGAAACAATAGAGCGTCGAGGAAACCAAATATCACTTTCCTTGGCACTTAAATTAATTAACTAGCTACTTTCCTACTTGCTTAATTAATTAGTAGCAGGTACAATAGGAGGCTATAAGCCAGCTATAAACATATTTTAAAGAGATAAAGGAAGAGAGAGAATAGTAACGGGCTACAGATCTGTAGTCAACTGCAGCATAGACTCCAAGACGTAATGTGTGTATGACAAGTGGGACCAGATAATAGTATAGTGAGTAACTATTGTATGAATTGACTATTACATTGGTTATAAATGATTTAGAGTTAGCAGTGGGCTATACAATTAAATTTGCTCTAAGCGACGTTAATTAGAAATCAGAACGTCAGGGTCGACGTCGTACGTCGTGGTTTTACCCGACAAGCATATCGATAAGCATCTGCGTAATCTGCTAAAGTAATGGGGAGGCAGAGGCTCCGAATGATGCTTAGCTACGCTTTCGGCCAAAAACGCTGCGCTTTGGCCTTAGTTTATTGCCGGTCAAATCTCCCCATGATCCCCTAAACCCATCCTCGATCTCCTCCATTATCGTCTTCTTGCCCACACACGCAGCAGCTTAATTAGTTTATAATCTCTCTTTCTTCTGTTAATCTTCTATTAGGGTTTTGAGAGAGATCGAGCAGTGATTCATGCATCGGACATTTCCTCGTGCCCACTATCTAGGGTTTCCGCGCAGGCAGTACTACACTATAGCTAGCTATGTATAGCGCTAGCCTTTGCCGGAATGCCATTGATTGGCTGGATGGGCTGGATGTGTTGGAAGAAGCTTCAAAGGTTTTAAAAAATGGTGAGGCCTACAGGGGTTAGGGTTTGATTGATTTCGTGGGAAGATTCCAACAGAAAGGTGCATGATCATGGACGTTTTTCAGGAATGGGGCTTCTCATTTGTGTGAAACTTAACATTACACACATCAGAACTTCATAAGTGCATGCATTGCCATCAATATATATACTATCAATCAGTGCGTTAACACACGGTGCATTTCGCATCTACAGCGGTAATGCACAATAAATCATGTGCTCATCGATGAGTTGTAACTTGTAACTAGAGCTACTAGCAATCTTGCAGTTCTTCAACATCTTGACATCTTGTACGGTTGTACCATGGGGTTATACAGCAAATTAATGGATCGGATGGGCAATGAAAAGGAAAGGTAGCTAGTAGCTAGGAGAAGGAGATCATAACCAGCATGGGGGTTGTCAGCGACGGCGTGATGATTGCTCCGGCCGCCGGCGACTCGCCGGTCGCCGTCGCCGGTGAAGGAAGGAGAGGACGAAAGGGAGAGGCATCATCGATCGGGGTTGGGTTGTCGTCAAAAGGCGAGCAAAGAGGGACAGCGCGCCGACATGCCAACTGCCCCCCAACCCCGCGTCCTCCCGCACCACGCCGCGACCCGCCGGGTGCCTACCTCTAGTGACAGACAAGTGGGGCCCACGTGATGGTGCGGGTCACTTGTCAGTGGGTGGGGGATTGAGGTGGCAGGGGAGCGCTGGGTAGGGGATCTCGTCGTCGATCCCTGTCCTTTGTCTTCTCTTGTACTGCAGCCTTGTTTGTTCCTGGGTTTTCCGTTGTACCCCCTCTGAGTTTCTGTATTTGCAATTTCATATATGGGTGTGTTTAGTACGTACAAAAATTGGAAGTTTGGTTGAAATTAGAACGATGTGACGGAAAATTAAAAGTTTGTGTGTGTAGAAAAATTTTGATGTGATGAAAAAATTGAAAGTTAGAAAAAAAATTTGGAACTAAACTCGGCCTATATATACAAGCAGCATGATTTGATTTGATTATTATAGTTGTAGTAATGTTTATGCAGTGTCATGCACCAATGCATTGCCCATCTCTAGCTCGAATGGTTAGGCAAAATGGCTCAGGTAGTACTTAACCGTCACACTATTTATAATGCAAATGTTTGATTTTTTTTTTCAATCATACATATAGAAAATTAATTGAAAATGAATACACGAGAAATCTATCGGTATAATTTTAAATAAAATACTTACATAGTGATTTAAGATTGTAAAACTTGACTACACTACTGGTTGAACCATTACTACATGAGTAATTAAGTATTAATTATTTTAATCGTAAAAATAGATTAATATGATTTTTAAACAACTCTATTATAGAAACATTTTTTATAAAAAAATACAGTGTTCTGCGGCTCGAAATGTGAGCACGCAAAAAATGGGAATTCTCTCACATACGTTGCTCACTAAGATGGTGTTTGAAACTGGTGAAGATGAAGATTAAGTTAGCGCACGTAAAACGAGAAAATCATTAGCACACGACTAATTAATTTTTAATTATTACAAACTTGACAAATGTATATATTTGATATTTTAAAACAACTTCTATATAGAAAGTTTTCGCACGAAACACACTGTTTATTTATAGTTTAAAAAACATGCTAACGGAAACCATGGTAAATTCTGAATCTTTTACGCTGACCACTGATGTAGAGAGCTGACAAAATTTTTAAGCAGCAAGCACTCTGTCTTAGGGCCTGTTTAGTTCCCAAACAAAAATTTTCACGCTGTCACATTAAATGTTTGGACACATATATGGAGTATTAAATGTAGACAAAAAATAATTACATGGTTCGTTAGGAAATTACGAGATGAATCTTTTAAGCCTAATTACGCCATGATTTGACAATATGGTGCTACAGTAAACATTTGCTAATGACGGATTAATTAGGCTTAATAAATTCGTCTCGCAGTTTCCTGGCAGGATCTGTAATTTGTTTTGTTATTAGACTATGGCTATGTTTAGTTCCCTTCAAACTTCCAATTTTTCCGTCACATCAAATGTTTGGATATATGCATGGAGCATTAAATGTGGACGAAAAAAACAATTGTACAGTTTGCATGTAAATTACGAGACGAATCTTTTGAGCTTAATTACGCCATGATTTGACAATGTGGTGCTACAGTAAATATTTGTTAATGATGGATTAATTAGACTTAATAGATTCGTCTCGCAGTTTACAGGCGAAATTTGTACTTTGTTTTGTTATTAGTTTACGTTTAATACTTCAAATGTGTGTCTGTATACGTCAATTTTTTTTACCAAAACAACTAAACATGGCCTATGTTTAATACTTCAAATGTGTATTCATATGTCCAATGTGTCATGTAGGGATTTTTTTTTTTTTTGCCAAAATATGTTTGGTTTTATGGGACGAAAGGAGTACTGTGGAATTCTCCGCACCCACGAGGACCTTAAACCAAAAACCGCCCACACGCGCGCGGCGCGCGCCGAACCGAGGACGAGGCAGCACAGCAGGTAGCGCGCGGTGGGCCCCACCCCCACCCCCCGACCGCGCGCATCTTTATAGGCAGCATCCGCGCGGCCACCACCACCCACCACCACACCCCTCGTCTCCGCAAACTCGACGCGCCACTCGACAGCGACCCCGCAGCCGATCCATCCCGCCGCCGAAGCAGCAGCAACCGCCACGGTGCGCCGCCGCCGCCGGTACCGATGTCGACGAGCTCCGGCGCCGACTCGTCCCCGCCCGTCTCGGGCCTCGACTACGACGACACCGCCCTCACCCTCGCCCTCCCCGGCTCCTCCTCCTCCTCCTCCTCCACCGCCGACCCCGAACGCAAGCGCGCCGCCCACGCCGACCACGCCGACGCCAAGCCGCCTTCCCCAAAGTACGTATAGCTTATGCTCTCTTTATGGAGATTCCTACGTTCCCGCGGGTTTCTGACCTGGCGATCGATCGATGCGTGTGCGCAGGGCGCGGGCGGTGGGGTGGCCGCCGGTGAGGGCGTACAGGCGGAACGCGCTGCGGGAGGACTCCGCGAGGGCGAAGCTGGTCAAGGTGGCCGTGGACGGCGCGCCGTACCTGCGCAAGGTGGACCTCGCGGCGCACGCCGGCTACGCGCCCCTCCTCCGCGCGCTCCACGGCATGTTCGCCTCCTGCCTCGCCGTCCGCGGCGGCGGCGGCGGCGACGGCGAGGGTACAAAGCTCGTCGACTTGGTCACCGGCGCCGAGTACGTGCCCACCTACGAGGACAAGGACGGCGACTGGATGCTCGTCGGCGACGTCCCCTGGAAGTAAGCAACGCGTGTACACATCTCAATCAGTTCTTGCCGATTAATTCACCGAAATCAAATGCAAAATCTGATCCGATCAATCAACACAGGATGTTCGTCGAGTCCTGCAAGCGGATCCGTCTCATGAAGAGCTCCGAGGCCGTCAACTTATGTAAGAACTTGCGATCCAATCCACTATAATAATCCAATAACATTACATTACCAACTATACTAATTACTGCAACGATCGATGAGTGAATGACATTTCGATTCTGAATTTTTTGATGCAGCGCCAAGACGATCATCCAGATAATCGATCCTACCACACGCAACGATGCAATGCCGCAATTGATCTGTCTGTCTGTCTGTCTGTCTGAATTAGTTCGTCTGAAAGTGTGTGCAATGGAAGAGGCTTGGCTGTACAGGTCCTCCATGCATATGTACCTATACCGTAGTAGGATCAGTGATCGATGAGCCAAATTGGTGTGTGTACTGTACAGGCCACAAGAACGAAAATATCCTCTCTCTTTAATTCAGGTGTGCTCCCTGCTGCCGGATCACGGCCGGCCCGGTTTGGTTTTTGGACGACGGCGGCGAGGATCGATCCAAGGGAGGCGCCGCCACGCCGCCGCGGCGGTGTACTTTAATTTTCAAGTTGTCAGCTACTTTCTGTAATTTGTTTCATGATGGTTCGGTTTCCTGTGACAGCCAGCACTTTTGTTGTATGTCAAATGCAATGTATACATGATATACCGGTTGTTATCGTTGTTGTTGCTGTTGTTGACTTTGTTCTGTCCATTGATGCATTGCAAGGTCAAATATAGGAGCACAATAATCTGTCATTTCTGTCAGGCTTTTGATGTCTCCTTTTGCCCATTTCTTTCGATTTGGTGGTGCTGAATGTTGTTCTTTTGGTTGGAAAATTGCGAGCTTGGTTAGGTAGATGGTGGTGATTGCGGCTGTGGAAATCATTGGCAGTGGGAATAACCAATCCATTTTTGCGCATGGACAAATTCATCCACTGAAGAGAGCCAGTGCAGAATCTGAACCCAAAAAGGGAACAATCCACGAATGCACGAACTGATCATTGAACTAGGCAGCTAGCGGTTGCAGTCCATAACCAGCATTTTCTCACGGCTGGGAAGAAATCTACTGCCTCTCTAATCTGAAATACTGGCCTGTTCACGTGAATTGTGATCTGTTGATGCATGATAATCTGTGGCCCGATCAGGCCGCCTGCAAATTCAGTTTCTGCACATATTAGTTGATGCTCAATCGCTACAACGAGTACTGTTGGGTTAAATCTATTGATGATGACGGTATTTTATATAGGTCCGACACAGATAACTGCTATCGGTGACGGTATCTGACCTGACACAGATAACTTTTCACATCACTGACCAATAATACGTGACGTAGCCTCCCTCCGACACAGATGATGGTTCCTGCCTCACACATATGTCCTGTTTTGCACTAATGAGTGTACACAGAATACTGTATACCAAATTCAGGTAGTCCACACACTACCGCATAGACAACCCCATTCTGAGCATGTTTACACTTGCGGTTGCCCAAATATACATGTCAGTACTAGCAGTGACATCCTGACAGCATGTCAGACCGCTTGCTCTGCATGTTACTGTAGTTAAGGAATCAAACTTGCGATGCAGCATATGCGGAAGTAAAATTGCCCTGGACGGCAGGACCCCTGTGGTGATGATACATGCGCTAAGTATGTGTGCCCATAGTAGATGGTGTACAAGAACCCGTACTGTTTGGGTTATCTGCTGTCAGTTGAGTTGGAGAAATTGGATAGATAATACAGCACGCGTGCATCCCAGAGATGTGGATGTGTTAAAAGAAAAAAAAACTCGAAGCTTGGCTCGTCCTAGATGGATTCGAGCCACAAACGAGTCAAGCTCAAGCCCAAACTAAAGCTCGCGAGCTTTGCTGAGACAAGCTCAAAGTTTATAACGAGCTGGCCCAACCTCATATATGCTGTAGATAATAGCCCACCATAGAAATTAGGAAGCACACTAGCCTAAGGAGAGGAAGAGGCACACATTCCTGAAAAAATTTCCGTCGATTTGGCTTCCTTCCGTGTGATCACTCATAGCTGTTCGCCTCATCGCCTATTCCGTCGCCCTTCCAGCCGCGTTGTCTTGTTCCGATGGTGCGACCTAACCTACGCAGCGTAGCTACGTCTACGACTGCGAGCCAGAGATACCTATGCGCGGCTACGCGTCGACGACGTCGTGCTCTGCGGCAGCCAGCAGCCGATTGCAAGTCTCTCCGTTTAGTTCCGGGAGGTATCTAATTTAGAAGAAATTATTAGATGAAATTGATATTGATGCCATAGTGAATATGACTTCGCATCAGTAAACGTTAGAAGAAAATTTTAAGGTAAGATATATAACTCATTTAATAAGAATTGTTTTTATGCATTACATTTATTAGAAATATCGTTATATTATTATGGTTGTATTAAAGGACCTTTTTTCTAGATTTGCTCCAGACCACTAAATTGAAATGACCGGGCCTGGTAAACCCAACGAGTTCAAATGAAACTAAGGATGATTTACAAAATTTACCAGTGCTATTTGTGATTTAGCGGAACGTGCTACCGGAACTCCCATCACGTGCACCCTGATCCCTCGCAGCACTCACAGCTCGACACGTGTCCCGCATCACGTGTCCTCCGCCCGTCCACTGCTTTGCGCCGACCCAGCAAAACAGCGTGAGACCCGCACACCGGATCACGCGGCCCACAAAAACTAACCACCACATCCTAATCCAGATTAGAGAGCGCGATTAGTCTAAACCGCATAATAATTTACAGAAATGCCCCTCACCTCCCCTTTTTATTTTATTTTTTTTCTATTTTTTTTCCGCAGCCACCTCCCCTTCTCCTCTCTTATCGCACCACGCGCACTGTTCACACTCCACAGTATGTTCGCTGCGACGACGCAGCTCCAAATCGGAACCCTAACCCTAGTAGTCCTCCTCCTCCCGCGCTCGATCCGAGGTCGTCATCCCGCTGATTCCGAGGCTCTCTACTGCGGCGGCGGCGGCGATGGAAGAGCATAGGCTTGGCGGCGGCGGCGGCGGAGGCGGAGGCGGGGGGAGGCCGCCGATCCCGGGGGCGGCGGGGAGGAAGCTTCCGGGGCTCTCGCGGCACGCCTCGTTCGTGAGTAACCCCCGCCCTAATCTTAGCTCTTTCTCGGCGTTGTAAACTTGGTTTTGGTGTGGTTTGGTTGGGTGCTTGCTCTGTTCTTCGCTGGGAAGGCGGCGAGGTGTGATATATATATATTTTTTTTTTGGCTGTGGAGGATTTGGGGATAATGTCGGCATGATGTGATGGGCGATGGAGTCTAATTCGGGGATGAGGGGAGTGAGGAGAAGGAATCTTGGGCTCTGAAATTGCCGGTACATCCTTGTTGTACTTGGGTAGTACACCAACCTGGGGCGAGATGTTTGGATCCGTGCGGTTTATGTGGAAGCAGCGTATTGGGAAACATTGCCTTGGGTTGTATGAAATGGTTGGTTTTATCAAACTGTACACAGAGTGTCCTAGAATGTTTTGCATAAACTATGTTAGTGCTTTGTACTATCAGTGTATTTTGGCGGCCTGTATTCTTTTTTGCAGAATTTGGTGGTGAATTTGATGTTTTAACTTTGCTAACTCATTAGGTATTTCTTCCTTGAAAAATTGAGGCAACAATTTTTCAGGGCACTGTAAAAGTGAGGGGAAAGGGGATCAGACTGGTAATTTTCTGTATGTGTCATGAAAGTGTCTTAATTCTTTTGGTACTTTTTGCTCTTGTCCTGACTACATGGACCCATAACATCATTGAAAAGAAATAAATTGAAAGGTACTTCGATGTCTCTGCTCAACAGTAATTGCCCATTTAAGTTGTCCACAGTCAAAAACAGCAAAGCTGTTCTAAATGATATTCTGTACTCCTTCCAGTTTCAAAATTCTTGACCTTTTAGACATAATCTCACATACCAAGGAGTGATTTATTAGGGTGCCTAATCCTTGTTTTGCCCATATTAAATACGGTCTTGTCCTAATAGAAATCAGAAACTCGTGCTGTTCCAAGTGGTTTGGGCCTATCATTAGCGTCTGTGCATGCCGGGTTCGAGTTCTATTGAGGCTATTTTTTTTAAAAAAAAATCATAGCGTTATCTTGGTAATTTTTGGCTCGCTCGCGCTTGCTTTAGCACACAACGGTTGCTACATCATCACTGTCATCACACCCGCTCTCAACGAGCAAGCGGTCGCCGAGAGCACGGCGCCAGCAAGCAGCCCAAGAAGCCAACAAGCGATTAATTAGGAGATGAGACAACGGCCCGCGTGTGATGTTTAATGACATACACGACGCTAGAAACAATGCGTTGGATTTTTATGCATGCATGCAGGAGCAAGCAGGTCCAAGATACTTTGCTTCAAGATCTAAAACGTCAACTATTTTGATACTGGAGGGAGTAAGGGGTTGGCAAAAGTGGTAATTGACTTGATATCATTGCCTTGCTGATTTTGGTTTCAATCTCGTCATTCTTTCCGGTATTGTTTAGATTATAACAGTGGATCCTTTAGATCTACACTGCACATTGTTTTTTCAATAGAAGCTAGATATGGTGATACACATAGTATGCTTCCATAACAAAATATATGCACTTGCCTGTCCATTTGTAGTTATGTACTTGTCTGACACTGCATGTTGCTTGGTAATTTCTAGTAGATCACATTATTTGAGCAAGGAGGGAACCATTATAATGTCACACTTAATTCACATGGGAGGGGACAAGAATAGTTGTTTCATAGTTACAACTAATTGCACCGCTTTTGGGCATGTGGTAGGGCAAACTTAACTATAGTTAGTATTTGCTATAAAAATTTTCTCTTCAATCCTTGCAATTAAATCATTTTAATTGGGCATCCACGGACGAGCCTAGGCAGCCATTGGGCCATGGATCAGCCAGTGAGTATGAGTGATATTCACTTTCGGAAGAACCGAATGTATTCCCTCTGTCCCAAATTATAATAGATATATTTTTTACACAATCTTTAATAACATACTTTGATCATTAATTTATTTCATATTATGTCATCAACAACTATAAAATTATTATCACATGAAAATGTTTTAAAATATGAATCTAATGATATAACATACATAATACTTGGTGTAGATATTGTTAGTGTAATTATTAGTCAAAAGTTACCGAGTTTGATTTTTCTAAAAATAAGAGTGCTCTACAATTTGGGACAGAGGGAGTATATGACAGTGCAATTTTTGTTTTTGCCTTTTGTTGGATCAACATTGTTAATATATGTATGAGATAATCTGGAAACCCTTTTTGGGTCATGGTAGTGCAACTTCAAAATGAAAGAGCATACAACATAGATTCTGTGCAGTATGGTTAATTATTTTTTTGTCATGCTTGGCATTGGTTTTGCAGGTGAGGAGTCCTGCAAACAGTACAAAATCTGGAACTGAGAAAACTTTTGAAAACATGGATGCTGTTGCATATATGCCTGTTGTAAGGTCTGGAGGTTGGGCTGATATTGGGTCAAGGCACACAATGGAGGATGTCTTTATTTGTTCTGATAACCTCATGAAAGAGTTTGGAGTTGAAAGTTTTGAAGATGGTCCGAGCGCATTTTATGGGGTATGCTTTTATTCTACTGTATTCAAGGCCCAGACTTGTTTCTTGATGTATGCGATATATGTTAGCCATTTCATGACTAGACTAACAATAACAACTTTCCTTTATGAGTAATTTCATGCCCCTGGCAGGCATTTTATTTATATATACCCTTCATATGATTTTAATGTCTTAGGTTTTTGATGGGCATGGTGGAAAGCACGCTGCTGACTTTGTGTGCAGCAATTTGGCAAGGTTTATCGTTGAGGATGAGGATTTTCCAAGGGAGATAGAGAAAGCTCTGTCCTCAGCGTTCTTACAGACTGATGCTGCTTTCGCAGATGCTTGTTCTGTGAACTCCTCTCTTGCTTCTGGCACAACTGCTCTTGCTGCTCTTGTGGTTGGGAGGTATTGGCCTAACTTCTTAAACTGTAAAGTGTTGTACTGACTACTGAGTTCCTGGCAGCATATCTGTTTAACTACTATTTGATGATTGTCATTACTTATTAATGGTAGGAGCCATTCCCCACCCCCACCCTGTTATGGCCATGCAGTTCCTGTTTCGTTGCCTGTGGCCTTGTGCAAATTATAAGTCTTCAGTGCACTCAATTGTGCATGAACAGACAGGGGCTTCAAAACTTATTTCTCTCATGAATAGACAGCATTGATTCTTGATCTTTGTTTCTTTGCAATCGTGTGAAGTGCATCTATAGCCTTTCTATTTTGACTATCTTGTCGGCCACGGTTAATATCAGCGTGCTTTAGCCTATTGCATGCTACAGTATTCTCTTTCATGAAAGCAATTATATAGTATAAATTTTGGTACCCAAAAATGGGACTGTGTGCCCCCTTTTATAGTCCATTATGTAGTTCTCCTTTCTGTCTATTTCAGTCTCTGCTTTCTGTCTTGCTATGATCTCTGAGAGAATTATGCTTCCACTTGGGATAACCAACTTTCTTGTCTTAACCGTTTTGCCATTTTTCATAGGTCACTTCTGGTAGCAAATGCTGGTGATTGTAGAGCAGTACTTTGTTGTCGTGGAAAAGCCATTGAAATGTCCAGGGATCACAAGCCTTCTTGCAACAGAGAGAAGGTTCGCATTGAAGCCTCTGGTGGTTATGTTTATGATGGCTACCTGAATGGGCAGCTTAATGTTGCGCGGGCAATAGGAGACTGGCACATGGAAGGAATGAAGGCATGTGATGGTCTTGGACCTCTTAGTGCTGAGCCTGAGGTGATGATCAGGAATCTCACTGAGGAGGATGAATTCCTCATCATCGGTTGTGATGGGATCTGGGACGTATTCCGCAGCCAAAATGCGGTAGACTTTGCACGCCGAAAGCTCCAGGAGCACAATGATCCTGTTACCTGTTGTAAAGAACTTGTTGATGAGGCCATCAAGAGGAAGAGCGGCGACAACCTTTCTGTTGTTGTCATCTGCTTCAACTCTCGGCCGCCTCCTGTCCTAACAACTCCAAGGCCTCGTGTACAGAGGAGTATATCTGCAGAAGGCCTGAGGGAGTTGCAAAGCTTTCTTGATAGCTTGGCTGATTGACATGAGGCTTCTTCCTTGATAGAAGCCTGACATACTGTCGCTAGTGTACTTCCATTGCTTAGCATGGAATTTTTAGGTTTAGTGCGGCTATTCCAAGGCTTAATGCCAGCTATCTCACAAATTCTCTGAGATAGCAGCTGTTGAGTGATTCTGGTGTTGTAATGTATTATGCGGCTAATTCTATCTGCAGTTTAAGTATTTATTGGTTCAGGGATATGCTGTCTTAAAGAGTCTGGAATTATCAGGGAACATTTCTAAGATATCTGAAATGGCGAGTGATGTTGTCTATTGACTGTATTGCAAATTTTGACATACTATGGGAACAAATGCATGTTTATTTACTGTGGTTGGAGCACAGTGATTCTGTAGTGTCTGCAGTGTGGTGCTCTGAACTTGTATGGTCAGTCTTGCACTTGGGTAAGATCAGTTACACAGTGACTGTGCCAGAAGAAACTCTAGCTCCACAGTCCACACTACAGTCAATGTGACCTCAGATGGTTCCAACAGCATGTTTTTTAGTATGTTCTCCCCATGACATCAGGTGCAGTAGAAGCTGAAGCTCTGCATGTGCACTCTGCCATCCCTGCTTCTGAATCTGAAGACGGAGACCAGCAACGATGAGGAGGTGATGTCGAAGACGTGCGAATCCATCTACTACTCCCATCAGCAGCTGTTGTCGGATGATGAAGCCTCTCGCCATTATGAACGCTCTAGCCATCAGCAATCTGATCCTGATATCACTACCTCTGAAACTGGAGTAGTAGGAGAAAAGAAAAGCTGGAGAACAACCAATCAATCATTCATGTGTCCTGCGATGGAAATCCAGATCGGCGAATGGCTCTCTGAAGATTGTTTTTCGATTCAGATTTTTTTTATTGAACTATACGGAGATCAGTGATCAATCCCTCTAGCTTCGCTGAAACGAATCCACCTACTCTCTCTCTCTCTCTCTCTCTCTCTCTCTCTCTATATATATATATATATATATATAGCGATAAATCACTAGTCACGCTAAAATGAAATGAATACACTCCTAAAACATGCTCAAAGAGACTATGGACAAAGGATAAATCCTGATCTCGCTACGCTAGTGCATACATAATTTTCGTGAACATCAGAATTTATATTCTAATAGATAGAATTATGCACCGCCACATCATCTGTGCTTCCTGCTTCTCTCTGAATATTAGTGGCATACTGGCATCGTAGGATCAATCAGGCTCTACCCACTCCCTCGCTTTATCGTGAGAACTTGCAGCTTTTGCTGGCCCATAATCGCAAAGAGATCGATGCTGGCCCATTGCAAATGGCAGCCGGGGCCCCTGCCTCAGTCACTCAGGGCCTAGGTCACTCTACTTCGGCTACAGTTGGATGATCTGTTCTCTCTTTTTACCTTTGGAGATTTATTATGGTGTTGGTGTGGGTCACTGGGTGCTCTGACACTCCAACATCTATGCTCCATGTTGGGACATTTCACTTTGTCCTGTAGCTCTAGCTAGTAACTAATCTAGATTTGTAGCTTGTTTCCCCGAAAAAAAAGAAAAATGTAGCTTGTTTAGGACTTCCCTAAAGAACATCAAGCACCCTCAAAATGTGTTTTGAGATTTAGGTAAAAAATGGTAGGGTTACATTGGGTTCATGTCATCTAAGTAAATTAACCATATTCAGATGCTAAGGGCTAGTTTGGTTCTCTACCTACCAATTCACTACCAATTCATTGGTAGTGTAAAAACCCATGTAAATTTTGGCACTATCAATTACTCCTAGTTGGAGGGTAGAATTCTCAATTTGTTTGGATTTAGATTGCTACCAAAAATGCCAAATCTAACTAGAGTATAAAAGAAGGTTTGGATTGCTACCAAACTGAGCTTGGGTATAGCCAACGATTTGGCTCCAATTCAAACGTACATGATTACTATTCAAGCTATCAAATGCTACTATTTGGTAGGGCAACAAACCAAAATGACCCCAAGTTTGCCTTTTACCACCGTCACCCACTCCTCTCACCTGAGGTTATGTTTGAAACACAGTAATTTTGTACACAACAATCTGATTATGTTAGAACCGCAACCAAGTGTTTGCAATTTTGATAATTTCGCTCCCCACCGGCAAGCACATATCGTGCCTGAAATTTCCGTTTTTTTTCTATTTTTTTGTGAATTTGGTCAAAGTTTATTCAAATTCATTCAAAATCTATTATATACTAAAAGTCCATTAAACTTCCTACAAACGCTCTCAAGTTGCCACGTGGCGCTCTAATAAATTAGAGAAAATCCTAGAAATTCTAAGAAAAAAGCAAAACATCTACCCTTGATTTTCACTTAAATTAGTGGGTCCAATATTATACACCGTTAGATAAAATTGATCTTAAAACAAACCAAATAATATGGGTCCCACCTCTCCTTTTTCTCCCGCGTGCATAGGTATAGGTCACGTACGTACATGCATGTGGACCTGTTGTTCGTACGCCTCCCTCCATTTTTTTCCTTTTTTTCTTCTTTTTTCCATTTATACAATTTGATATATATTTGTTTAAATAATAATAATTTAGAAAAAAAGAAAATACCATCATATAACTCTTTATAAACACAGGTAACTAAATTAGCTATGCAGACTTTGAAAATAAAATTTACACCATATTATATGTTAATTAGCTCTAAAATCAATAATGTAAGATAATTTACTAAATACTATTATTTTCATATAATGCACTATTTTAAAATAAAGCTTACACAATATTATATTGTGTACCTATCAAATAAACAATTTAAGATCTATATTAACTAATATATACATGTACTTAAACAGATAGACCCATTATTTAAATCATCGGATCTATTTTTTATTACTTTGGATTATTATTCTCAAATAATTCAGTGTTTTAAAATAAAATCTACACCATCACCATAATGTTGTGTACCCATTAAATTAACAATTTAATATATATATATATATATATATATATATATATATATATATATATATACACACATATATATTAACTAAGTTACATTTACACTAAAACCGGTGGACCCATTATTTAAATCATCGGATCTATTGTTAATAATGTCTAAAGTTCTCTTTTTGGCCCACTCCACAATGCACATCTGCACCTTTGCCTTTCGCACATGTGACAGAGTGTCGTGTTTGAGGCATCTTGGGTGATCACGACCGCTGCAGTGCTACCGTTGTTATTAATAGCATGAAAATAAAATTAAAGATGTGATGTAGCGAGAGAAGAATTAAGTACCGTGGAACACTTAACTCTGTTTAAGCTGAAATCGAGAGTTGATTAAATAATAATTATAATGTATTGTGTTATGTTGTATTTGCATTTTGTATTATTTGTTCGTACAGTTGAAAGAAATCATTATGTTATAATTGTGAGCACAATATTAACGAATATCAACAGAACTCTTACTAGGATAAGAGTGTTATAAGGGAGTTTAAGGCCCTATTTTTTCCCTGATTCCATCTTTTGAATTTTCGTTTGCACGCTCCATGCTTTCAAAGTTACTAAATGGTGCTTTTCTTAAACAACTTTTTAACTTTTCAGAAGTCAATTCATTCGTTTATAATCTCAAATAGCTATCACATAAATCAGATAATTCATCAATTTCAGTTGTCATATCCCCTAAAGTACATATTTTTTTCATGCGAGTCATGGTGATAAGTAAATTGGTGATCAACGCATAATCAAAGTCATAAGATAAATCTGTTAGAACAACTATGACCAATTGTAAATAGGTGTCAAAATTAATTGCTATTAATTAAACAACTAATGGCTTGCTAGCAACATATTTAATTTTTCTCTACATGTATATAAACATGGACGAAGCTAAAACGAATATGAACATACATCCCATACATATATATATTACATCTTAATATTCTAATTACATGTGGTAAGTCCACTAAAATTTCTTAAAATGCCCTCAAGATGTCACGTGGTGCTCTAATAAATTAGAGAAAATATTAGAAATTCTAAGAAAAAAAGCAAAGTATCTATTACTTGATTTTCACTTGAATCGATGGGTCCAATATTATAAACCATTAGATTAAATTGATCTTAGAACAAACTAAATACTACGAGGTCCCACCTCTCCACCTTTGGTACGCACCTACGTACGTGGGTACCTACGCTTCCCCACCCTTTTTTTTTTATTTTTCCCTTTCTTCTTTTTCTCCATGAATATGCTTCCCTCCCTTTCTTACTATATCATGCACCTTCACGAGACGATTTAATCTATTTACTTAAGAAAAAAATATGATTCAAAAGTCGTAAGTACTTAATCCATCTCCCACTCAAAAGCTTGCGAATGGACTTTTAAGATACCTTAACAAAAAAAATAGAACCCTTAAATTATTACAAAATAACAGTATCCGAACTTTAGTTTGCCCTTAATCTATGTGATAATTTTTTTAACAAACAATAAAAATCTTACCTTTCAATAATATATGTGCCCGCGCATACGCGCTGGCCACCTTCCTAGTTCATAAAAAAAATTAAAAAGAACCGACCAAAAATACCGAAAATTCTGAAATTTAGGTTCTTTTAGCCCCCACCGGCAAAAACCTTTGTTTCAAAATTGCAAACCCTGCCGGAAGCTCCCCGTTCTAAAAAAGATATAAGTTTAAACCTTAAAGTAAGGCGTGTGAGAAGCACAACTCTCATTACCACCTACTCCCTTCCCTCCGTACCATAAAAAATCAACTTATGGAGATGAACCTAGACAAATATTTGTCCAAATTCATCCTTAGAAGTTATCTTTTTTTGGATGGAGGGTGTATATGATTTGCGTATTCACGGACTAACCACGAAACTTTGAACGGCGAAATTGATATTTCTCTCTTCTCAATCATTGATCTACACTATGGCTAGATGCCACACCACAAGCTCTTGAGTGAACACCAAGCATTGACATTTTCCCTTGTTGCACCATATGTGGGACTCAAGTCACTCAACTCCAAGGGACCCATCTCCACCACTAAAAACTGCCAACTCCCCTGCATGACACCACACATCACGGCCCAAGAAATTTCTCCATCAGCCATTGCCATCACATCGCTGGCCGTTAACTGCATCCCTGCAAGCAAAAGCCATCCCTTCTCTCTCCATTGGATTCTTGCTTCTACTACTCCACGAAGGACCAAATTAAATCAATTCACACACTGTCTATCTCTCTGAAGCAGCCTGGTACTACTAGCAGCGATATGATTAGATCCTGGGCCTTAGTTTGTCGATCGTCTGAATTTTTTTCACAGTAGCTCAGCTGCAGGCATTTGCAACTTCAGTAAATTAATGGCAGCAGAGGTAGTAGTTACTGTAGTTAACTCTGAT